TAGTGTGTGTGTGTGTGTATATATATATATATTTTATAGCTACATACCAAAGTATAGGAAGTTTAAGCTACATCATGTTATGTTTCCAAACTCGTGCATGTTATAACATACTCATATAAAAGCTTTAATACAATAGTATTAACTTCAACTTCTTAAAACAAAATTAAAAGAAGTCTTGCATCATTAAGTTTTGTCCACATTAAAGTTATCTTGTGGCATATCGTGATTTCATGGGATGTGCAAACACATCTTACTAACGACTTTAAGGTACATTCACTAACAAACTGGAAATTTTGTTTGTGCAGAATGTGACTGGTGGTAATGTAGTGGTGCATTTAGTGCAAAAGTAACTGATTCATATTTATAAACATTTTCATAAAAATGTCTTGCAACTTATTTAAAATTTATGATTTTGAACATAAGAATATTATAAAAGCTTTGGAAGATAATTATGAAACTGAATAACTGAAAAGTGGACATTTATATAATGCCTGTATCAAATAATTTAGTGTCTTCAAACTGTACTTGCAATAAAGGTTTTGAAAACAAATCATGTTGTTTAATAATAACTGGGCTACAATTATACAAAACTGTTTAATCTTCTTTAAATGACAAGCTTTCCTTTATTATTTAGCAGTGTATTAATTTTTTATTTACAAGTGCATGCACAGATTTGAATTTTAAAGCTTCATTTTAAATTTCTCTTAAATTCCACTATTTTTATCATTTCAAATTCTTGACGATAAAATAATACTAAAACTTTCATAAGAATCTGTACATGTGACACAAGGAGTTCTTACAAGTTCGTTTGACTTAAAAGCAAAACTCTCACAAATAAACTATGGGGCGACATTTTGACCTAGAAGACCTCGTTCTGACACCACTACTCAGAACTGAACTTCGAGTTTTTCGTAAATTAATTTTTGACAACATCTGTTTTTGATTTTGTGTTCGAGAACCTCTGTTACTGGTTGTAATACGACATCTTTTGGAGAATGATGAAGTTCTTGTAGAATTTTCACAACACGTACAATTGCGCTTCAGTGATTGTTTTGAGATATCTCTAGATCGTGTCCGACCTCTAATACCACCTTCCGGAAGATTGTATTTATCTTCACTTTGACTTTCTTCCTCTATACATGATGAGCTGCTCCCCTCTGATCTTCCAGAAAGTTGAAGGCATTTGATGCTCCAGCGGCGTGTTTGGCAGTTTGGTCTATACATATCTTCAGATTCTGGAATCTTCTCTATGTTTTCAATTATTGAAGAACTTGTTAAAGGTACAATATAATTTTCAAGAGATGACTGCTTGCTAGACTCCGTTCCATTTGTATTTGTATTTGAAGCATCAAGATCCTCTTTATTGATAATAATTCCATCAGGGAATATTTTGCTGTCTTTTTTCAACCCATCTATCGCTATTGTTGTTTCATGTCTTGGAAATGGTATGTTGTTGTCGCTAATATCTTGACTTTTATTTTCCAATAACATTTCTTGTCGTTGATTACAGTCACTAATAGTTTTCGCTAAATCAGTATCATGCACATTTTCTAGATTTTTTCTTCTTGATGCAGATCTTTGAAATTTTGTATCTTTAGCCAAACAACCGGTAGAGTTATTACTATTTGTAACTTCGTTAAGTTCCTGACTTTTAACCCTTGATATACTTCTTTCTAATAGCAAATCTTTAGCTAGAATCACAGGTACACTAGACGAGCAGGCATCACTCAAGGAAGTGTCTCTTATTCCCTGTCTCAAGAGACGTTTCTTAGTCTTGGTCTCATTAGCTGTAATTTGTACAGAATTAGAAACGGTGTCATTTAAAATAGCTTCTTCAGCTTTGATTTTCAAAATGCTTTTTTCCATTTGTAATTCTTCAGTGATATTTTTTCTAGCCAATTCAGAACTTGAATCTTTTGCAACTTCTAAATTTCTGCTTTTAAAGATATTATTTTCAGATAGTAATACTTCAGTCAGACTTTTATTCAAATCAGACAAACTCGTATCTACAACAGTGTCTGGACTTTCATGCTTCAGAGTAACACATGTTGTGGATTGCGACTCTTTTGTCACACCATCAGCTGTAGTAGAAACGTATCCAGCATCTACAACCGTCTCGTAACCAACACAAGTTGACAGTTTTATATTGGGTTGCAGAACTCTAGTTAGGCTTGTGACTGGGCTAAAGGCACATCCAAGTTTTGAAACAAAATCTTCATTTTTGCATCCCTGCCCTTGAGTTATAGTTTGTGTAGTTTTAGTCACACTTTCAGGTGGTGAATAAGTTTTCAGTTGTTCTGCCATTTCAGAAATTGCACATTCTTGTGAACACACTTTTGATTCACTGCAGGTTTCATTGATTTCATTTGATATTTTCTCTCTCAATGAAATTTCTGATGATATGCTAATTATGTTTTCATACACCCTCTTATGACTGCTACTGTCAAAGTTCTGTTGGCTTCCACAAATGGTTTTCTGGCTGTTGTTCAGTACTTGTAAACCTTCACAAACAGCATCTTCACTAACATCTATGTTCTGGCTGTTGTTCAGTACTTGTAAACCTTCACAAACAGCATCTTCACTAACATCTATGTTCTGGCTGTTGTTCAGTACTTGTAAACCTTCACAAACAGCATCTTCACTAACATCTATGTTCTGGTTGTTGTTCAGTACTTTTAAATCTTCACAAACAGCATCATCACTAATATCCATGCTCTGGCTGTTGTTCACTACTTGTAAACCTTCACAAACAGCATCATCACTAACATCTATGTTCTGGCTGTTGTTCACTACTTGTAAACCTTGACAAACAGCACTTTCACTAACATCTATGCTCTGGCTGTTGTTCACTACTTGTAAACCTTCACAAACAGCTTCTTCCCTAACATCTATGTTCTGGTTGTTGTTCAGTACTTGTAAATCTTCACAAACAGCATCTTCACTAAAATCTACATTCTGGTTGTTGTTCACAACTTGTAAACCTTCACAAACAGCATCTTCACTAACATCTACGTTCTGGTCGTTGTTCACTACTTGTAAACCTTCACAAACAGCATCTTCACTAACATCTACGTTCTGGTTGTTGTTCACTACTTGTAAACCTTCACAAACAGCATCTTCACTAACATCTATATTCTTTTGATCACTCGAATTAATGTAAATATCATTATTCGAAACTTTTTTATTACTTGAAATAACAACATCACTATTATCCATGTTTTGATTTCTATCAAATATAGCACCAGGTCCTGGATCATAGCTTTCATACCTATTGAAAGAATCATTTTCACTATAGTCCATGTTTTCATGGCAGTTAGAAGTGACAATTTTATTTTTGTTTAGCTTCTCACCGCTTAAATTATTTTTCTGACAATCATTGAAGCTTTTTTGACTACCTAAATATATGTCTTGGCCCCTATCTGATGTATCATGGGTGTCCTCCAATAGCTTACTGCTGGCAGAGATTAATTCTGGATGAACTTGTTTCATACTCTGTACACCACAATTTGAACTCTCACAAGTTCCTCCTTGACTGGGCTTTGATGAACTAACTGAAGATGTTCCACTTTTAACACAACAATTGGAGCTGTTGTATACATTCTCTACTAATATGTTAGGAATTGACTGTTCCTGGGGCACCATGGAACTAACAGAAGTATCAGAGAATTTAAGCACTTGAGGTGCACCATAAGAAACGGATATTTCTGGAGGAGTTAACATCACTCCAACCTCTGAGGGGAGGCTCACAGATATAGGTTGAAGATGTTCCCATTTTTCAGTACTATGAAGTATTTCTTTCACACCACTGAAGTCTACATCTCCTGGTGGCAAAGGCTGAAGAGAAGAGTATTCCTTTGTAACCAAAGGATCAAAATCAACAGAAAATGATCTTGACGGGGTTACTGTAACCACAGGAGGAGATATGGAATTACTCCTGCTGGACTTACTTGTACTTACATGTGCCTGAGAATGCTTCATAACAGATCCAAACTGGGAATTCATCCCTCTGTGGACAGCAACTACTGGAACAGGGTAAACACCAGGCTCCCCAATCAAAGATGTACTAGATGGTAAGATTTCATTTCTTGTATATTGGAAAGGTCCTGGTACTTGAGTAACAACAGGTTGTAGATCAGTAAGAGCAGAAGATTGACAATTGATATTCTCTGGGAAAGTTATACAAGGAGTATTTTGACTTTCTTGATCAGTGGCTAGAATTGATGTTCCTTGATGATTGGATGAAATTTCACCCTCTATGTCACTCTGTGAACATGAAACAAAAGGCATATTCAAAGAAACTGATTCCAATGTAGACAATGGTGTTTCCAAACCTGACCCATGAGAAGGAAGATCCATTTTGTGGACATTTTTACGATGTCTCCTCAAATTGTAAGCTGAAAAAAAACTTCTACTACAAGAGATACACCAGAATTTCTTTGTACCTTCTGACAATTTTCTGTTTGATAAAGTGCTTGGAATACTAGTATCTTCCTTCTTCTGCTTCCCACTAGACTGCTTTTCATTACTAGAAGATTTTTTACGATGTGCTTTTTTCTTTGGTTTTGTTTCTGTATCTCCTTCTTCTTCTTCAGGTTTCCAGGATGTGTTTGGATAGAGGGAAAGAGAGTAAGGGGGAATCCCATATCTTTGATAGTCCAAATCAGAGGCACTAGTCAGAAAAGGCAACAATGATGTATTTTCACCCACACAAGATGGTAATGGATGGGTTGCCAAACTTCCACAGAAAGTAGCTGAAGATGTCTGAGGGATACTTCCATTGTCTTCATAATTCATATACTGTGAATAGTTTAGTACTACCTGTAAAATACAAAGCATGTGTTGAACCATATTTAAAGCATCAAAATATAAGTTCAAAATAGTCATAAAAAGCAAATTCTAAAATATGTCTTAACAGGCTAAAACAGAACTAGAACTGACAGTCTTCATGTTGACAAATAAATACACAGAAAATCTCCTCATATAAAGATATTATAGCTAGGCTAGTAAAATTATAAATGAACAAAAATGTGTTTAGTTACAAATAAGTAATTATTAAACTATAACAGCACCTGATCAATTTTGGTAACAAAGAAGTAATACAATTACTTTGAACTTCCTTAATTAAGATTCATGAATCTTAGAGACAAAAGTTTTTGTATAACTATTACTAATCTTTGTGAAATCCTAACAATTGATTTTAGGGTCATTTTGACTTGATACACATGGTCTGCAACTTGAAAAAAAACAAAAACCCTGGTCTCTACATGAAATTAAGCAAAGAAATATCCTAATCTTTCATGAACAACCTATAGCTAATCCAAATTTGATAAACAAATATTATTAAAAAATTATTTCACTTCATTTATTTTGAATATTATCAAATTTTGATCCATATTTTTTGTACAACTGGCAGCTGAACATGTTTAGCAGTAAATAACCAATAAAATGACACAAAACTCTTGTCACTTTAGTTCACCTTGACTTTTAATCATAACTAGGACTCAAGACTTGTACTTTAATTAAGTATGATCGTAAATACATATGAAGTTTTTATTACCTCGACCTTGCACCTTTGGGATCACACTGAATTTTATGCAACATTAGAAACAACAGACTTACAACCTGAAAGTCTTGTAACAAGCTTGCAAGTAAAACAAAACAAAAAATATTGTGCAACTTATGTTTTATGAACAATTCAAACCCTTGAATATCTGGAATACTAGATTAAATAAGATAAAAAAGGTGGGTGGTAGAAATACCCCCCTCTTGTCCACTGTCCAAGGATCACTACTATAAAACTTGGTAAAATTTAAAGAAATTACTGAACTTTATTATGTCATATAGTCACATACTAATATAAAAACAATAAAATCAAAACTTTAAGAGATAAATAAAATTCCCATGGATACCAAATTATTCAGATTTTAAAGTAGTGTAAGAGAAGATTAAGAAACAAGCAGAATTTACAGCCTATAATATTAAGTTTAAAAACAAGCTACAAGTCAGATTCCTATTAACTTTATAGAAAATTAGAATTATTATAATACAAAAAGATATGGAATAAAGTTCAGAACTTAGAAGTATTTGGCAGAACACTAAGACTCTTGGCATCTACTTATCATCAGATTATAATTAAACTACCTCAAACCTATGTCTAGAAATATTACAAAGATCAAGAAACTACCTTGTTTGGAATTACTGAAACTATACTACAATTCTGAGTAGTATTCCTCAGTTATTTTTATTTCATAATACACCTTATTAAACACCTATTCAAAGTATCTAACTTAAAAGTATAATTCCAGGAGCTGCTACAAAAGTACATTCTGTGAACACTTGCATAGTTGGTTCAGAATTTTTTTTATACATATAATATATGATGAAACTAATTTTCAACTGTATAAAATAAAAATATATATATCAGGATTGTTTACTTTCCATTTCTATAAGTACAGGGTTGAGTACATTATACTAAAAAGATTTTAAATATGAAAATAAACAATAGCCTATGTAAAGTTATGGTAGAGTGTCATGTATTAGAACAACATTTTGGTATTGCTTACTGTTTCCTAAGTATTGTGATATTCCAACAAAAATTTATCACTTTTGACTAAGATATATAGCAGTACATTCTGTCTTAAAACATTCATTGACTCAGATCATAAAGATGTACTCACATTTGGAATTTACAGTTTCAAGATAGGAATATTCCTTGTATATAATGGCAATGGGAAAAAAAAGAATCAACTCGGAGTATCAGGACCACTCAGAAAATGACCCAAAACAAATCATACCTACAGTGTGGTAAGTAAAGTAGGTTTTCTTGTAACACGTGAAGGTTAGTGGTAAAAGTTAATTACACGACATTATCATAAAGTGTTTCCATTTGAAAATGAGACTAACAGAGTATGGGCTCACCAAGATAAGGCTTTCAGGGATATTTCCTGTTCAACAGTTGCATGCCTCAAGCAGCTGGAGAATGAAAAAGGTATTCATGCTATTCCGTACATTCAAGTCTGTGTGATCCGACTGTTGAAATGGGTGTTAGAAAACTATCATGCACTAGATGGTTTATGGAGAGCATGCACACAGGATCAATATGCTTTGGATATGGCATATGTGTGACAAAGCATCCTGCGACAGAAATTATGCTGTAGGACTTTGTCAAGATGCATAGTCATCAAAGAGAGCATGTCTGGAAGTCATAACGTGGACTGTAATATAATTGTGAGGCCCCAAAATCATTTTCATATAATGTACTCAACCCACTATGTTTTACCAGAAGTTTTGTAAAGGAACAGCTGGTTTTTCATTTGTTTGTCCATTACCTAATGCATTTAAAGGTGCAAAGGCAAACAATCACCTCATTATTTATATAATAGTGTTGATGATCTTTTATCATACTTGAATTTTATTAACCTAAAAGAGAATATGTGCAAAGTAATATAAAGTTAAAAATTGAACACAAAACAAAAAGTGAATAAGATACTGATGATCATTTTATGACATTTTGCTCCATTGAATCACTACTTTTTCTCTCTCTAAAGCCCCATAACTTTGACAGAATAATTTCATTCATAATATAATTCATGTCACAATTTCCCAATATTAATTTATGATGTTAGAAAAACACGTAGGTTCAAGAAGGCTTGACAGAAATGAATAAAAACACTATAGGGTTATAGGGGTTTTATTCATCCCAATATTAATTATTACCCAAGAGAAATAACCACAGTTGATACATAAAAAGCTGGCAATATACAGACTTCATATTTTGCTTTTGTTAAAAAATGTAAATCAATAATTTTCAGTGAAGTATACACTTTAGTTCTATTTTTTTATATTTATAAATATTTTTAAAAATAAATGCATGTAAATCAGAAACTAATGCCATTAAATCTCCCTTCCTATAATTTGAAAACAAACTAAAACTTACGTATACTTCGGTATACTTTTTTTTATCTCAATCACATCATTTGTATTTCTTCTTTTCCAATGTTTAAACTTATTTTGCTTTGTATGCTATTAAAGTAAAAACGTTCAGCACTAGCAAAAACTAATTTGACAGATGCATAATACATCATTACAATTAGCAGTGAAAATGCACTTGGGTGAACTAGCATTATCTAATGATATGCTTTTAAACATGTTCACAACATATACAGATGCTAATATATGCAAGATTTTAAGTTGTATGCATTAGTTCAAATTAAAGCCTATTTCAGCTGGCATATTCTCATATTTCACTCAATAATAAAAGTGAACTTTAAGAACCTATATCTAGCAAAATCAAATTTGAATGTTAGTGTGAAAAATGGTTTTCCCATTATAAAAGGTACTTTTCAGTTAAAGTGTGAATACATATGTAACGTGTATCCCAACACAGAAACAAGGTTGAATTATTCAAAGTATTAACACAGTATGTGATTACTGCACATGCAAAATTAGCAATTGTTTGGTTTTAAGTCTTTCTATATGTTTGTATGTATATCTCCAAACTTAATAAACGAAATGGAAAACTTTCCAATGGCCCTGATCACTTAAAATAACTAAATTAGTTTCTTATATCTATGCTAATTTTTTTAATTTTTAGTATTTCGTATCTGTACTTGTGCTGATGGCAGAAACCCTATCAATAGTGTTTAGTGAGGAATGATTCAATCTTTTTAGTCTACGAGAGCATAGACTGAGAATATAAGTACTATTTTTATCACATTCTACAGCTAGAACTCAAATTTCAACCATTTTGAGTGAATATTTTCAAAAGTTAACATTCCACTAATCTGAAAATACATTTCAATTAGATTTCCTTTGTATGTCTGCCCATGAGATTTGCATGCAACTAGCCTTGGACTAACTTCTATCTAAATTCAAGTGTTTAACATGAGCTGCACTGATGCATGATGACATTATTATTATATGACAAAGGCCCTCCACCAATAGGAGGGTGACACAACCTCCATAAACTATAAACTTACCCTCATGATAACTTCATTCTTATAGAAGTAAAAAAAAAAGGTGCACCAGAAGTGGAGAAGACAGGTGGGAATGTGTGCAAAGCGTCTTTCAGAAATTTATTTTCAGACTCACCTCCTCACACAGAAATGCTACAATCCAACAGTGAACTGGTGGAGAGGACAGTGCAGAAATTAAACCTAGATGAGCTCTCTTCAGACAATACCCAAAGGGAAAGCCCAGAGAGTGTGACACCCAATGGCAAGGGCTCCATACAGACATGTGTGAGACACCACATCTCATCTTGACCAGGGTATACTCTTCACCAAAAATGAAAGGGAGGGTTGGGCAGAATGTGATCATGAGCACCTGTACACAAGTGGTTAGTTAGCCAATATGGCTAGTGTGGTTAGGGCACAATCAGACCATAGTGTGTGTGCTCGTCTCGACTCTACTGGACATATTGGCTGCAGTGTTGACCCACACTACACTGACAGTGTCACCACCGCCCTACTCTCTCACTACAGGCTTGGTCAAATCAGCCTAGTTTGTAACCCGCAAATTGACCTTTATAGTTTCCATACTACAACTTCTAATATGTTTTGCAAATCTTTAAGAAATTTCCCAAGCTTTCAATAATCATTAAGTCATTTGTACAAAAAAAAATCAAAATGTTTAAGATTTCTCAATGAATATATGGAGTCAAAGTGTTGACTGCTCTGAGTGCAAACTGATTTTCATGTTTAAATCAAAAATAATTTTCTTTATCTGAAAAATCTCAAATTTCATTTGCATAATCTCTAAAACCTCTTATAATAATTTTCAAACTTTTTTCAGTCAAACTTCATATTTCATTTATTATTTTCTTTACCCTAACTCTGTACGTTGTTAGTCAGTTTAATTGACCTCATAACCACCCCCAAAAAAAATCAATCTAAATTACTCTTTTTTTCTTTCTAGAATGACTTCAAATTGTAACATGAAACTACTTTTGTTTATCCTAAATAGTTTTAAACTCATAACAATATAGATCTATTTATATTTAAACTTTATTGCTGTATTGCCCTTGGAACCATCTCTAACTAATTTTCATGCTATACAAGTTCTAAATCACTTGACAAATGTGTTGCTCACATTACCCTATCCAATTACATAATTCACTAACTACTCGTGAGCATATGTCACAAAAATTTGTTATTATTATTATTATTGTTATTATTCTTTTCTTTACCAAATCTAACCTAAAAAGTTTCTAATTTTTACACTTTAGTTACTTTTATAACAATAAATAAAGAATACACATTTAAAACAAGAAATGAAGTACTTACTAGGGTCTTCTTTTTTGCTGTCAACTGTCAATGACACTTAACCCTACTTTTATTTAATTAAATAATGCACCACATAACACAGAATAATAGCATGCAAAAAGCATACAATGTCACATAGCTATCACAATTTTTCTGGCTATCTAACCATGCAACAAGACCCCTTACAAGTTCAGCTGAGCTCATCATTGTGCTTCTCATGGGAATAAAATTTGAACTGGAGGCAAAATAGACAATTCTCTGTACAGAAAACAACATAATATGAGATGTCACTTGATAAATGAAAACCCTGGCTTTCTATTGGTTATAAATAAGTCTTAAATGTCAGAGAGAACTATTGGTAATTTCTGATAGAGAGGATGTAATAGGGGGGCATAGCAAGATGGATCTGGTTGTCTATTTCATGGCTCTATAACCAAATAAGATTGAAGGCTATGAAAATTATGCTTTGCCTGAGCAATTACAATATTATAATACATAATATACATTAAATTTCATACTTATTGGAGGGATGATAAATAAATTAGAGAAGATGGGATGCCTCGATAGGAAATGTTCAATTCTCATACTAGGGGAATTCAGGATTTTTTTTTATATTGCCTTATCAACTTAAGAACTTAAAACTCATATATGATTAAAATTTGGATTATTAGC